TCTATGGATCATACTGTTGTACGCTGCCAGCTTCTGTTTGTATGGATGAGATGAACTATAATTTATTGTAATATCAGTGTGTGATGGCTTATGAAATATCCCAAAACAATGGCCTTTATTAATTTTAATAATATTTAAGTCTAAAAAGTTTATTGAATTATCCTTCTCTGTTTCCATAGTAAATTTAATATTAGGGTGTATAGTATTGATAAAAACTAATAAAGAATTTAACTGTCTACTAGTACCAGTAAAAGCAGTCAGTGTATCGTCAATATATCTAAGCCAATAAAGACAATGTTTACTTAAATTATTGCTATGAATTTTATGTTCTATATTATCCATAAATATTTCTGCAAGCAACGGGCTTAATGGGTTCCCCATAATAAGTCCTTCATTTGCTGAGTAGATGTTATTTTGAAATTAAAAATTATTTTGTTTTAGGCAAATGTTTAACAAATTTAGGATTTCTTCTTTGATTATAATATTGACTTGATTACGATTTAATAAGTTTTATACTAGCTTGACTGTTTTTTTAGGAGATATACTAGGAAATAAGTTTGTTAAATCGAATGATACTAATTTTGTGTTACTAGGTAATTTAATGTTTTTTAATTTTTCTGTTAATTCATAAGAATTTTTTATACTGTACTTTGAATGGAATTTGCAGTTTTCTTGTATAAGTTTAATTAATGTATGTGAAAGTTTAACTGATGGAGCCGTGACAAATAACACAACTGGTCTAATAGGATAGTTATCTCTGTGTAATTTTATTAAAGAATAAAGTTGTGGTGGTTGAGAGTTCATTTGTATTAGTTTGAATTTTTCTCTAGAATCAAAAATTGCTGTTGAATCCTGAATATTACGTTTTAGTTCTTTTTGATATTTATCTGTTGGATCAAATTTAAGTATGCTATAATTATTGCTTGCTTGTAAAAATGAAAGAGTTTTGTCAATATAATCTATATTATTAATAGCAATTACTGTATTTCCCTTATCAGCACGAGTGAAAATGATATCATCCTGTTTTGCCTTATCCTTTATATTTTAAATTAACTTACTAGATAGTAAGTTTAAATCAAGATTGATTTGAATTGTTATTATGTAAAAATTGTGTTTTAATTATGTTCGCAGTATGATATTTATGAGACAAAGTATTATATGAATCTTTTAAAGCGATTTCTGTTTCTATTTCTAAAATTTCTAAGTTCGAAGTAGTTATCTTAGGTGCGATGTGCGATTTGTGGTAGTTAAGTTAACAAATCTTTTAAAAAATGTATGATCAGATATTTTATTTGTGTTCGGTTCTGATTTTTGTTTAGGTATTATGGATTTTTTAAAAGTAAGTTATTTTAATTTTTTCCGTTGTCTAATAATTTTTTTATGAATAGTTTGTCTAATCTGCTCCCTAATGTTTTTATCTACAATTTCAAATTCTATAAAATGTAATCTGTGAGATAATTCAGTATGTATTACCTTAGTGTATATGTTGAAACAGTCTCTTTTGGAATGTTCTTTTTTCTTATCTTCTGACAACCACTTCTTTAATCCTGCTTCTTTTCCTTTTTTCGCTCCTGGAGTACTGTTATGAGTGTTCAATCTCATATAATTTGAAAACACATTCTGTTTCTTACAACCGTTGAAAAACAAAATATGTTGTGTACATATTGCATACATATATAGGAGCTCCTAGTGAAAAGGTATCATCATATTTAAAAAACCAAAATATTAACGTAGCTTTCAAAGTCAATAATACGCTTGGGAAGTATATTAAAAACAATAAGGGTAAAATTATTCTTAATAATAAATCGGGGGTATATAAATTAAATTGTGATAGTTGTCCAAAATTGTATTGGTCAAACAGGTCGTACTTTCAAAAAGCGCTATTCCGAACATTATAATAGCTATACAAAAAACAAAAATAATTCTACCTACTCAAATCATATTTTGGCTGAAAATCATTCTTTTACAGACAACTTTAAAATTTTAATATAGAAAATAAGGGCATTAAACTAAACCATTTAGAAACACTTGAAATAAATACATTTAAAAATTCAGATAACCTACTAAATGATCAATTAGATTATAATAACTCACCTTAATTAAATCTCTTTCCCAGTTTTCTGTGAGATAATCCCGGTAATGATACTATCTTATTGTTATCTGATTGATATCGTAATTACTTAAGTACCCTTATTTTGTTATGTTATTGATGTATTTTCTTAATTACTTTGTTTGGTTAAATTAGTTCGCATATATATTGAACACCGAATTGTAAATTAATCACATTTGAAAAAGAAGTTGTACTTCGAAACATGTCATGTGTAGTGTTTTCAATTTTTTAATTTTTATTTTTTTAAAATAAAAGTTATGTGAAAATCTACCAAATTTGGTTTTACTTATTTAAGTATATATTTTATTAAATATTACACAGGGTGAATCATATTGGTGATTAATTTGGGCAAAAATATGCCGTATGTTGCTGTTTTGGAAATATTTATAAATCATTATAAAAATTGGTTAGGAAGCATAACTTTGACAAGTAACATTATTTAATTTATTATTTTACATTTCATACAGAGTGTGCTACATGAGTCATTCCTGATGATGAAATTGGGTCATATCTTTTTCGATGAAACGTTTTAGCAATTTTGATCAGGAAATATGATTTAAATACAATTTTTATGTAAAATTGTTGTGCCTCTTTGAACTTATTAATTTCCTCCATTTTAGATAAAAATTCAATGTATCTGAAAATGCTTTCAAATGAGAAAGAGTAGACAAACTTGTAATTCAGAATAATGTATAAAATAATTCAATAAAAATAATAAACTCAAAGTGAATCTTCTACGTGACATCCTCCTACTTCTACGTCTTTTTCAATTTGTTTTGATGAAAGACGTTCCGACAGTAAAAAAAATATAAGCTGCATATTGTATTTTTTACCGAAGTTTATTTTGTACAGAAATTCGTGGGCCAAAAACTATGGACTTCATATGTCTCCAAAATTGGATATAAAGTGGATTTAAATTAGAATTTCATAACTTTGAAATGATCAATTACATTTTTCTCGAAAAGAGTTGAAATAATCAAGTTAAAACAGGCACATCATGTTTTATACTCAATATTGCTAAAAAGATTCGTCAAAAAATGATATGACCTAATTTTATCATTAAGAATCACATAATGTAACAAAATGTAAAATAATAAGTAAAACAGAATTCCTTGTCTATAGTTATGCCTCTTTACCAATTTTGATAAAGGTATATTGTGAAATAATTATCAACGAATAAGAAAAAATACTTAAATTTAAACACCCTGTATCTTTTTGAAGGCATGTTCGACCCATGTTTCATAAGTTGGGTCCACATAACATGCGCTTAGTTTATGACTTAATTAATAATTATGAATAATTTAAAATTTTATATTTACCGTGGATATTCCAGAATATATTTAATGTTGTATTATCAACTAAAAATTCTCATCAAATTCCTTAAAAATAAACCAAAATAGAAACTCTTTGGGCACGTAAAAATGTCATTTTCGAATTTTTATCCCGATTTGAGGAAAATTGCATTATGTAAAAATATTTGGTATGATGAATTATAAAAGATTAGGATTTTTACCTACACAATATAGTCTAATTTATAATAACTATATTTATTCAACTTTTTATATTTACCATGTAGTTTTCAAAAACGTAAGTTTTAAGGCAAAAATCAAATTAACACTATTTTAGTGTCTACCAGATTATACAATAATATAGTACAAAGTTATACAATAATAATTTACAATAATACCTACTCAAAAATTAAACTAAAAACTATCAACAAAAGAGATTACATATTCTAATTTAGAAAATATTTTAACAGTGCTTTCTTTACGAACATAAAACTATGAAAGAAAATACCTACGTTGACTATATTTGACAACTGATTACAAGTTTTTGATATTCCTATCGAGATAAGTACAAGGAGTATAAGTCAAATATAATAATTTTCCAGAAAACGCCTCCAAAATTTTCTGAATATCTTTCCCTTGTATGCATAAAATTGATAGGTAACACCGGCACACAAAAAAAAGTTGTTTGTACATCAGACACGACCTACCTACCGGCATGTATTTTGACCCGCTGAATCCGAATTTCAAGTCAGTTTGGGCCGTCCACCCTTTAAAATCCACCCTTGAAATATCTCTAAAAACTGATGTATGAACTGAATGAGGCGAAATATTTTCTCAGATTTTGAACTGTTTTTTGTTGGTATCAAACTTTTTTGTTCTCAAATGACCTCCGCAGTATTCAGCGGATCGAAATACATAAGAATTATGCTTGGTTTCGATTCATAAATTTTTTTTATTACTAATTATCTTATTTTTACTATTTTTACAATTTACTCGACATTGAAGGGTGGACGGCCCAAATTGACGTGAAATTCGGATTTAGCGAAAGGTAGGTCGGGACTGATGTACAAACAACCTCTTTTTTTTTGTGTGCCGGTGTAATTTATTGTACGTTTTCCGCAAGACAAATATGTTTTATTTTATTGAAAATTATAAAACAAAAAAAAAATTATGAAAATCAATGACTGTTAGGATTTTCTACCACCATTAACTTATACTCTTAATCTCGTTTGATTTTCATAATCTATCTACTTATTAACTACATTTTTTATATAAAAATAAATAGGTTTGAATTCTTTTTTATTAAAAATTATATGAGATATCTACTTTAAGCTGAAATTCGAAAACAAAATTTTATTCTAGCTCTTCATCTTCTTCTTCTTCCACTAGGTCGTTTAATGTGCTTTTGGCATTTTAAATAGTTTTCAGATTTTTATAAAAATCGTAAAAGTCTGGACTTAGTAAATCCAGAAGAGCCAAGATATCTTTCTTTTTTTCATTAGAAATTACTAATGAAGATGTATAGCAAGGTAGCGGATTTAAGGGTATATCTTGTGATATCCTTCCTTCTAAATTCATACATCGAAATTCTTCCCTTTTGTCTAGTGAAGACTTAAAAAAATATTTTTTGGAAATCCTTGACGGTACCTTAGCCACCACAGCTCTGTCCATTTGAAGGAGTTACCACTGCTATCTTTTTGTTTTAGTTTAAGATGGCTTTTATATAGGTCGGAATAGTTTACGAAATTTTTGTGGTTTAATTCCACCACTTGAAACTTTTTCTTTTTTCCAATAGCTCGTACTAACTGGTACCAATCGTGGAATACTAAAATTTGCATCTGTAGATGTTTTTTTTGTTTCTCTATCATCCCATAATCAACATCACATTCAAAGTGGCTATAACCACTGACCATAAAGTTGTGGTATATTTGTCCCAGCTGAGGACATTGCTGTAAAAGCGTTAAAAACATTGCTGCTGAGACATGTGAATTTCTGTTTTGGCCCCCACATGAATCTAAATATAAAATGACTTTTTTGATTTGTTGTGGTAAACTTGACAGTTGTTTAAAAATACATGTGGCGATTTGGTTGGCTCCTCTTCCACCTTCGGCCTCATGACACATGAAGCAAGTTACATCCCCTGTTGTCGTTTCATGAAAAGTTAGGTTGAACGTCCACAGTTGGCGTTTATAGAATACGACCGACGTATTTAAGTAGGGTATTGGCAGGCACTGTTGGAGGTCAAATGCGTAACATTTAATGGTGTTGTCCTCCTTAGCACGTTGTTTGTCCTCTCGCTTTTTAGTATATACCAAATCTGCCTCATCTTGATGTTTAGTTTTCTCATCTTGTATAGACTTTAACTCATCTTTTGACTTTGCTACTCTTTTTTTCATAGAAAGTACATCACACTTGTAACAAGTATCTGCTTTTGGCCCTTTGAATGAAATGTTGAGTGTTTTAAACTCACGCTCATAAATTGATCTAGGGGCAGGGTTTGTGACTTGTTCCACATAGAATGCATACATTTTTGTCAAGTTTAGGTAAGCAGGTAAATATTTTTTTTTGCTATTTTTTTGGTATAGTGGGATTCATAGGCGAGGAAGGATTTTATGTGATTATGAATTGCTCGAATGGTGTTGTCTGAAAGTTTATTAGCAGGCGACGACCGACGAGAGGCTATGGTTTTAGCAAGATGGAGCCCCGCCACACTACGCTGCTATTGTTCGCCAATATCTGGACAGAATTTTTTCCGATAGGTGAATTGGACGACGAGGTACTATTGAGTGACCAGCAGGGTCTCCAGACCTGACACCGCTGGATTTATTTTTATGGGGACATCATAAAAGTAAAGTCTATATTCAAAAACCCATCAACATAGCAGACCTACAAAAAAAGACAAGAGAGGAAATGAATAAAATAACACCGGAAATGTTGGGTAACGTAAGAGACGAAACATACTACCGACTGAGATGCTGCCACAAGTCAATGGTGTACATTTTGAGTAATTGTTACATTGAAAATACGTTTTGATTTTAAGAAACCCCCAAACGCACTAGAAACTAAAATTTGATAAGTACGCTGGATTTCTTGTTCCACCAGCTTTTCAGTGAAGGGTCACATGCCACAGGGTTTTATTGGACAAAAACATGTTGACGGTGGTTTCAGCTACCCCCAAAGAGCTATATTTTCCAAATTTCTTGCAAAATGTAGGTAAATATATTAAAACGTTGACGTGTCTCGGGAAATGTTAGAAAAATTATTTACCTTCCCGTTAGCGAATTTATTCCAGTTAAGGTATCCATCTTGTATAGTTATACCCATAGTTTTACGTCATCTGGGCGCCGATTATCATTTTTTTTGGCATACTTTACTTTTTTTATAATTTTTATTTAACATAATTTAGAGTGAAATCATTTTTTTTAATTGCTGTTGTTTTCTGTGCCAGTTCTACCACCCTAAATTTAGGATGGCATCCATTCCATTATAGCCGAGCATTTTTTCTTTTTTGAAAAAAATATCAGGTATTTTTGTTTTATGTATTTAATTTTAGTTATTATATTAATTATTATATATATTAATTAGTTTGATGTTTTGTTTTTAATATTAATTTTTTTTGCTTTTTAGTATTTCTGCATTTAAAGGCTCTGTAGTTACGAGTTTCTGATGTAATTTGAACTCATACTTTTATTTTTATAGTAATTAAGGTACCTGAGAATATTTAGTTTAGCTTTCATTTATTTTTTTTTATTACTACCAATATTTGGTCGTAATTTTTTAAACCGATATAATTTTGATCCAACCTATTTATTCCTGAATTACTGACATCAACTCCATAGAATAAAAATATTTAAAATCGCATTTCTACCATACAAACGTGCAATATTTTTTCTCATCTCTGTATCTGTAACTTTTAACCAACTGGAATACGTGAACTAACTATAAACATAATTACAGTGCTCAGGTAGGGAAATCTGCATAACTAACTGCAATATGAAAATTTCGCTATAATGAAGGCATCTATTGCGACAAAAATTACTTCACGTAGCTGTAAATTGCCATAACTTTTTTGCTTTCTCATTTTTGCTTATGTGGTCATAAAACGAACGTACATAAAAATATGCAAATTTTTTTTTATAACTTTTTAATATAATTTTCAAGACAAAAATGTCAACAATGCACAGCATGACTAGAATTTTAATTAAAAACTTATTTATACTGTTCTTTTTTATAAAAATTTTGCTTGGAATGGTCAATTGAAACGCAGTTTATTAAATTGATTTATTTTAGACTTTGGAGAAGATTCGCAAACAATAAGCTCGTCAGAAAGATATTAAACTTGTTTACTAGTAAAGAATTTGTAATAACAGGTTAAATTTAAACTTGTCTAGGACTAAAGAATTTGTAGTAATCGATTATTTAAAAGTAATATTATGCTAAAATCGAAATATGACAAATATTTATCCCAAATATACGATGATTGTGTGTGATTATCATCCATTAAATGTATCACTATTCTGCTAATAACTGTTTAAATTTATTGTTTCAATCTGACGGAACCAATTTAGGTAATTTAATATTTTATAGTAACTGAAATGAGTTATTTTAACGTTTTAGTCTTGATGATACACGAAAAATAAACTTTCAAATTGAAAATAGCTTTTTAAAAAAATTTATTATTTTTTCTATGTTAAAATTCTACAACTACGATCTGTACTACAAGAATAATGAATGTATAGTGATATTAAAAATAAAAAAAAAACTAGATAAAATGCATAAAGTCCTAATCAGCGGTTTCCTAGAAACTGGTAACTCTAAAAACGCCGACATCTGCAGGATCTGTTACTAGAGCTGATATAATTCCTCCCCTCGAGGAGGGAGTTGAACGGTGGTATGGTCTACTGGTACTTCTTCTTGATTTACTGGCTTACGATAGGTTGAGATTTTTCTAACAGAAACTCTTGTTAGTAGGACCAAAAAACAATACATAAATATTGTCCATTACTGGGGGTGTAGCGCACTCCTTCACGGAAAAAAAATTCTAGAACAAATTTCTACAATTATACATTTTTTCTCTACAATAAATAGTACATATAGGGACAGGAACAATTTGTAGTAAAAATTTACAAATATTTGTAGAGAATGTAGTGTAGAGTTATTATCTACAATATTTAGTAAAAATATTCAAATGCATCATAAGAATTGTTCTACAAATTGTTATAATTTTTGTTATTCATTGTATGAATTTACATTAAAAATGTATTGCATTTTATGAAAATAAATACACAATAAATAGTAAAAATTCATACAAATTGTAGTAATTTTTAATAAAATTTGTAGTAGTATTTTATAATTGTTATAATTATAACCTAGAAAAAATGTTCCTTAATAAAATATTCAATTTATTGTTTTAATATAAAAGATACAAAGTCTTAATTACATTATGTAATAAATAACAGTAATAATAGCGCCCTCAGTCTCAGTTGGCTTTTCTGCACCTGAAAAATATGAAATAAAAATTAATACCTATTGAACTGTTCATACCCTTAAAACGGAGATATTTATCACCTTTACACTGATTTTGATATTAAATGACTAAGTCAGATAACTAACAAAAATGAGAAAGTAGGTATGTCACAATTAAGACAAAAACACAACATTCGATCGTTCGGCACAACATTCGATCGTTGACCACAACAATTTTTTTTTAAAATAATCTACTAAGGTTATTTAAATTAGTTATCTAAAGGTAAATTATTCAGAAACAATAATAAATATACTTACCAGTAATAGAAGTTATTATTAATAATTTCTCAAACGCATCGGTGCTTATAATATAATAATGTGCTATAGGTATTCGTATATGTACTATGCTTCGTTTTGTGAACATGGCGAACGGCTACTGCTGTCTGGCCATTTATGATCGACGTCAGAAAACGTTGGCCAATAGCAGAATTCTGTTTTATTCACATGACTTAGAATTTCTACAATATTATAGAATATTTTTGAACAAAATTGAATTTTTTTCATAAGAAGGGATGTAAAGTATTACTATTTTTTGTAGATAAAATTATTAATATTTGTACAAATTTTTACAGAAGTTAGTAGTAATAATTACGATAATTGTAATAAATTTCTACTTCTACAAACAATAGTAAAATATACTAAACATTGTGGACTTCTTTCCTATTGTTGTAGCATTTTATTCGACAATTCAATTGCTACAATAATGAATAGTTTTTAACTATAAATTGTAGTAAAATTTTCTACAAAAAGTTAAGTATTTTTCTACAAGTCTACTACTACAACATTGTAGTAAAATTTTCTAGTCACTTTTTTCCGTGTTGGAACTTGGTTATTGGTTCATTTTCGACGAATTTTTGATTTAATTTGGTGTTTATCTAGGTTGACTTCTTCTAATTCAAGATTGAGATTTAATTTTGACGATTCAGAATTTTGGAATTGTAGTTCGGGAAACAACATGGGTTGACTTGAAGTTTGAAAGTTTTCTTTATTTGTGGTTTTTTTTGTTTTGTGATCACTGAACAGCCGACTGGAATTTGAATGGCTTCAATGACTTCTGTTTGATCATGACATTGTAGGGTGATTGGTTCTTTTGATGGGAAAGTTACTATCCATTGATTTGTTCGGTCTAATCTTTCGAACAAAGGTTGTTTTGTTGTGATTCGTGTTTGCTGACATGTTTAAGTGTTTTGGATATTTAAGAGGGCTATATCGCATGGTTTTTCTTCTTTGATCTCTTGGAGGTTAGTTTCGAAAATTAGAATGTGGTTTAGAAAAATTAATTAGATCGTGTTTCCGTTTCAACATTATAGTCAAAACTTTTATCAATCCGCAATATAATTCATTCGTGGTGTTTGATTTCGGTTAGAAGGACCTTGGTGATCAGTACCGTATTGGTTCATAACTTGGGTAGGTGCTCTGTTATTAAAAGTATTTCTGGTCGAAACACTCATAGGTGTTTTCCTAGGTAAATTTTGATTTGGAATTTGGTTTGGTCTAAAGGCGTTTAGATTTCTAGATGAAAAAATTGACCTTGGGACCTGAGAGTGTACAGGGATGGGTCCAGTAGGAAAAAAAACGTCGTGCCATGTAGTTATTATTATTATTTGCATTTTATGGAATAAAGCTCGTTTGGTTATTAAAATAGTTTCGATTTTGATAATTATTAAAATTTTGTCTTGGCTGTTGTCGTGGTTGTGAAATGGGTTGTCTAATTAGATTTCTATTCTGAAAAATTTTAAAGTAGTGTATGTTATCTTCTTCCAAAACACACTGTAACGCATTATTTAATAAGTTAGGTTTTATACAACGAATCGTAGTACCTAAAGGTTCTCTAAATCCTGACAAAAATATCATTAAAGCTAATTTATTATAGAGATCCCCTTTTTGTATTTTACTCTCGACAGTTTCTTCATGTAAATCTACAAAGCTACAGAGAAGATTTAATATATTTAACACCCTGTCATAAAATTGTTGAAGTCGTTCATTAGGGTTTTGTCTAAGC